AAGGACTCGGGAGGTCACGGGAGGTAACCCTACCCTGACCCCCCCCCGCCCCACCACACACACACATGATCCCACCCCTAGCCCGGGACCCCCACAATCTCCCCATCCCATCCCTTCCACCTTATCTGGGGCGGGCCAGGGGAAGATGTCTCTGGCCTGGCTAGAGCTGCACCGGCAGGCTGGGCAGCACAGCCGCAGCCTGCTCCGGTGGGCCAGACTGGGCGGCACGGCCGCAGCACGTTCCAGCGGGCTGGGCCGAGTGGCATGGCCGCAGCGTACTCCAGCGGTGTGGCCACAGCCTGCTCTGGGGGGCTGGGCCGAGCAGCACGGCTGCAGCCTGCCAGCCCCGGAACTGCAGCTGCTTCGGAGGCTGGAGGGAGAGCAGCGTCGCCAGAAGTGGAGAGACTCTGGCCCTGCCTCATCCCTTCTGTCTGTGCTGCCTCTCCTTGCTCCCTCTGTTGGGGGGAGGGGCTGTGTCCCACCTCTCCCTCTCTATACCCGTTCATAAACGGACCCCCTTCTCTGGTGCTTCCCTTTTTTACTAAAAAAAAATTCGGTTTATGAACAAGTATATATGGTAAGTTCTCTTAGGTTTCGGTGTTTACTTCATAAGTTTTTTGTGCTACTTTTTGTTTTAAGTCTTTCATTAAAAATAATTTTAAAACTTACTTTTTCATGCCATTCCCATTATCCTGAGAACATTTTGCTTATTGGTGCCAGAATGGACTTTGCATCTCTGTTAAAAGTATCGTATCCCTATTTCCCATTCCCTTTGTAATGTGATTACTTCAAGAATGTGTTCATAAATATAGTCTACTTACTTATTTTTAAGTTGTTATAGTTTTTTGTCTTTATTTCAGGTGGTTCTTCCCACTTTTATTTTAGAGAAACGTTCTTTGCTGGAGATGTATGCAGACTTCATGTCTCACCCGGACCTCTTCATTGCAATCACAAATGGAGCTACCCCAGAGGAGAGGATGATCCGCTTTGTTGAATATTATCTCACTTCATTTCACGAAGGTCGCAAAGGAGCAATTGCTAAGAAACCGTACAATCCAATCATCGGAGAAACGTTTCACTGCTCTTGGAGGATGGCTAAGGGTGAAGTAGCCTCTGACTCAAATAGTAACTCTTCATCCCACTCCCTCTCAGAGCAAGCCACTCTTTCACAAGAGCCAGAGGGCCAAGTGGAGTCAGACTACTATACAGTCAGATTTGTAGCTGAGCAAGTGTCCCATCATCCTCCCGTCTCAGGGTTTTATGCTGAATGTGTAGAGAAGAAGATGTGTGTAAATGCTCATGTCTGGACAAAAAGTAAATTCTTGGGAATGTCAATAGGAGTAACAATGGTTGGTGAAGGTGAGTAATTTATTCACTGCAGAAATGGAAGGTGGTTAAAAATATCAGTGAGATAAATATAAAATTAAGTTCTGTGAACTCCAGTGTCGAAATAACAAATGAATTTTGCTCAGTAGTTTCATCTATAGGATTTTCAAAAGAATTCATTTGCAGGTTGTTTGTAGGCTATTTTAAGTTTTTTTTTTTTTTTTTTAACAAAATAGCCCTGGGTCTCCTCCATTTATCTTGAGAAAGAGATTCTGAGAAACCTTAAAGTCATGTTGATAGATGACTTATTTATTATGGATTACTGAAGATGCCAGATGTGCATGGCAGAAACAATCCAAAGATTGTGTAAGATCACAAACCTCCACAGGGCTATAGTATTGCAGAAAAGCAAGACTATGTATCTAAAAACACAACATGAGGTTTTGAAGCAAAAGTTCAATTTGTACAACCTAAACTGACTTTTTGTTATGTCTCCAAAGCGCACAACAAATTAGAATGTACAACATAAAATGCTTAACATAAATGTTAATTTTTCCGTTGCCCTGTCTAAACATATTTTACACTTTATGATTCAATTCTTTAAATTTGCTTTACATTTAATAATGGGATCCCTTTAATAAGAGTGTTGCTCATTATCCCAGGATTCCATTTTCCCTTAATATAACTCACCAATTTGCTGGTTTTGAACTGGAAATGCCATCTCAGCTCTTTTTATCCTTCATGTTTGTGTTGCCCAATTACTCTGACTCACAGATGTTTGAATATAATCTGCACTCCTGATAAAATGAGGATAGGCAAAGAATGCGTAAATCAGTGCTTTGAGTCTGAGGAAGGCAACTCCTGGAGCTGAAGTCTCCTTCCAGACAGTTTCAGAGACCATGTGAGCACCTCTGCACTGCTGTTCTTCAAAGATCTGAAGTTTGCCCTAAGGTAGTTTGTTTAAACTTGATGCCTCTATCATCTGCCCATGAGGTGAGAGGAATTGTGCCTAACTCACATGGGGGTGTGATCCCTCAGCATTATGGAGGTGAAAAGCTGCCGCCTTAAGGGTCTGTCAGCTGCTGTGAAGGCATGGATGGAACAGAAGACAGTATGATGACAGTTAAGGTTTAACTGGTGAACCTGAAAAAGATGGGATACAAGAGAAATTGTGAAAATCAAATGTCAGAAGAAACACAGTGACCTAAGGCTACAGGAGGCATCAGCTGGCGCATGCACAGCACAAAATCTTTCTTCTCTACTTTTTTTTTTTTTTAAAGAGACCGAATCAGAGGTAGGTAGATCTGATTCCTGAGGAAATGTCAAGAAAATCTGAATGTTATCACTTTAAAATTAATTGTAATGACTATTGCATGAACAGCAGTCAGGCGATAGTTGTGTTTATCTACAAATCAGTAACAAAAAGGAAGTGACAGGAAGGAAGATTAAGGCTGCTACACCCCTTCAGGAAAGGTGGAATGTACCATCTACTTGTGGGGGAAGGAAGTGAAATATGAACATCAACCTCCAAATTCTCTGGTTTCAGTAATTCATTGCGCATCTCATGCTTGTAGCATGGTTCCAGAGTGTGAATCTCTTCCCATTTAGCAGTAAAACTGTTACAAGTGAACAGTTAGGTGCGACTATGCCTATACAGCACCAAGCTTTTAGGAGCATGTTTTTGAACCTGTAACAGGAGGAATGTTTTCAAAGAGAACAGCAGATGTGCTGGTACCCATGATACCCAGTGTCTGCACTTGTCTGTTGTAAAACCTAACTAATGGCAATGTGGGGTTAACAAAATTCTTTTTGTATCTGGACTCTGTAATAATTGTGATGTATTTCCTTCAACAACCACTTGCCTCAGTACTATAAATTGGAAACATTTTGACGACACTCTTATTTTTGTATGCAGGACTCTTAAGTCTTTTGGAATATGGAGAGGAATACACGTTTTCTCTACCTTGCGCATATGCTCGATCAATTTTAACTGTTCCTTGGGTAGAATTGGGAGGAAAGGTCAATGTTAATTGTGCAAAAACTGGGTATTCTGCAAGCATTACTTTCCATACCAAACCATTCTATGGTGGCAAACTGCACCGGTAAGTACACTCATTTTATATTTTACTGAATTCCCTATATTGTATCACTCAAACTCTGTAAATGAATACCTTGCCTCTGGTTTTTGTCACCATCTGTTTGCATGCCGAGTAGCCTTGTGCTAAGAAAACTGTATTCAGTGATGCATATTTTTTTTTTTCTATTCTTGAAACTGTTAAGGGATTGTGGAGTTATGAGGCAGTATTGCATGGCCCAGCCACACAAACTTCACAAGCAAAAGACTGTTTCATTGCTAATTAGACAGATACATTCGGGGCTGCGAGTATCTGCGTGCGCCCATGCACCCAGTTCAGGTGATCAGGAGACTGGACTTCTAGGTTTTCATTCCTGGCTCTGCCAATGACTTGTTTGTGACTGGGCAAGCCATTTAACGTTGCTCTGTCTTGTGTGTGTGTGTGTGTGTGTGTGTGTGTGTGTGTGTGTGTGAGAGAGAGAGAGAGAGAGAGAGAGAGAAGAAGAGGATGACACATCTCGACCTAACGAAAGGAGTGGTGTAGTAAGTT